AGGGGTTTTGTCGAAGACCTTGGACAGCAAAATCCAGCCAAAAGTTGTGTTGTGCGAGCTTTAAGAAGCTCTGCATAATTGGGCTGTTATGAGTGTCTAATGCCAAATTCAGACTACACAATATCTTTTGTCAGTTATGATAATCACTGTATCAGATTATGCGGTTTTGACACCTAAATTCTTGTCTTGCCGTGGATAAGAAACACGTCAGACTACACGTTGCTTTCCACCCAATCATCGCTTCCCTTCTTTAACGCGACGTGTGATGTCATCGAGAAGGCGTTACTAGCGACTGACTTCCGGAAACAAGAGCGTAAACAAACAATGGCTTCCAAAGCAACATGTTAGCTTAATGCTAATTCCAATAAGCGCCATCATTCCCCAGCATTTATATTTTTCCACTCTGTCGTGGTCGTTCCTCCAAAAAACATCATGCATTTTGCCATACCTCCATGAACCTCTCAGAACCTAACAGCACCAACAAAATCATCTCTCTTTAGTTTTGGCATGTTTGAAAGCTGTGTACGGAAGAGCTTTTGTGCTCCTATTGGTCAATAGAATACTCACCCTATTCACCCTATGTCAAACAAATTATACCAAATTCGGGGTGATATTGTATAGTCTGACCTCGGCATTAATGGTTTTCGCATACACTACCTTTCAAAAGTTTGGGGGCAGTGAGATTAATTGATAATATTTTAGTTATTATTCAGCAAGGATGCATTAAATTGACCAAAAGTAATGGTAAAAGACATTTATAATGTCAGAAAAAGATTCTATTCCAAAAAAATGCTGTTCTGGTAAACTTTCTATTCATCAAAAATCCTGAAATACAACATTGTTGTTTCAACAAAAATATGAAGCTGCACAACTGTTGATAATTCAACATTGATAATAATAAGAAATATTTTTAAGCAGCAAATCAGATTGATTTCTGAAGGACCATGTGACACTAAAGACTGGAGTAATGATAAATGAACAGTTTGCCATCACATGAATGAATCACATTTACATTTTTAAATTGTAATAATATTTCACAATATTACTGTTTTTACAATATTTTGATCAAATAAAGTGTGAGCATTAGAGACTTTGAAAAAACTCACTACAAAAAGTAGCAGGATAACATGACATGATCTTAGTTCTGAAACTAAGATGCATCACTACTAGAAAATGCACTCAAGAGTAAACTTGTGTGGACAAAGAGGGAAATGAAAGATGACACAAAAGCAAAGGGTGGTTTCCTCTAATCTGGTATCTAGTAATAAACTCAACAACGAACTGAACACAAACAAACATCTCGCCAGTGGTTCCTGTAACTCAAAGTAAAGCAAGACCACAAGATCATGGGTTGGATTCCCAAGAAATGCACAGCGTAAAATGCAATGTAACTCACTTTGGATAAAAATTAAATGCAATGTACTTGTAGGTTCGCTTGATTTTGTCTGACTTCATTTTTCCTCAAGAGAAACTGACCTGTATTTGGGCCGATCGAATATCAAATTAGACTAGATGACACATGAGGTGAGTAGAGAGGCAGAATGTCTGATGAGATTCAATGAATCCCCTTGAATGCCTCATATTACCGCAAATGCTCTAGAATCACCCCATTTGGCAACAGAAATATGTTTCAGGCGCTATCCCGCAGGTCCACAGTGTTTGAACAGAACAAAAAGCATGAAACTCAAGAACTGAGCAGTCAATCACATGCTTTAACTGGAAATGGGAAAAGATTCGTTATATTGTAAATCACAACATTAAATTTGCGACAAGATATCGTATGCGGCTGACGCCGTGTGTATGTTATCCCAAGCTTGAATCGTTTCCTGTCCTTGATGAACTTCTGTTTGGCCTATGAATGAAGCTGCAGTTCTGACAGTCGGGGTCAGGATATGAGACGAACACAAACATATAATGACGAGGCAAGTGGGTAAGGGTTATACTATAGCTATTTCAACTTTTACTTTGGGCCGGGAATATTTTCGTTTTTCGGTCAAAGCAACAGCTGCCTCTGTGAAACACCTGCTCCTCACCCCTTCAATGTCAAGCAAAAAGAGTTATGATAGTTTCAGGAATGAGGATAGGAACAAAATATGCCACATATATAACAAGCAATTTTTTCATATCCATTTACCTCACATTAAACTCAAAACATTAAAATGTTTCTTTCTGTTAAGGTTCATAATGGTCTCACTTCACAGCACGAGAACATGAGTCGTTACCTGGTCCGTTAAAGACATGTGGTTTCTATTCAACCTTGCAGAGCTCGAAGCATACAGATAGATTCATAAACCAAGATCGATATCACAGCACATTAACCCAATTCTTCTTACACCAAAATGCATCTGCAGGTTTTTCTAAATAGCACAAAGCAAAAGCAAACCAAGTGAGTACTGCTCTAAAATGGATACAGACACAAGCCAGCCCATCAGAAGCGAATCTTTACCGCCCTACGAATCTACAGCAATAACTTCCTTCCCATGAATCCCCAGACACAAAACACATCATTTAGTCATCCATTTCAAGCATGGAAACCAGCTAAGCACATCAGCTAAAAACAAGTCACATTTTCAAGCTGTCAAAGTTTTACAATAAAGGCTTTTAGATGGTACAAAGCTAGCTATATTTGTCATGATTGATGATAACCTTAGTAAAACTTTGGTTTTACTGGTTAAGATTGGAATGGTTAAGATTGTTTTTTAGACAGATGTTGCTGTCGTGAGAATTTTCGGATTATGTGGTAGCACCCATAGATATCCATATAAAGGCTAGATGTCTCACGGCGGAGTATTTATCGTCATCACTGGCGGCCATCTTGTCACAGACAGGCTTTCTGGCGGGCTCTGTGGTATCTGATGTAAGAAATACTCTTATCTCGTTGAAATCTTGACGGATTTACAAACGGTTTGGTTTCTTACAAACGTTATTAACGTGGCTATAATTCTGGATGATTATTTATTACACTTATTATTCATAAGTATGCAGTATCATAACTACATCTCTGCCGTTTATAACAAACCAGACTGTTTGAAAATCGGTAGAAAACTGAGCAAGTTACGGTGATTTAAAAACTACATGCACCATTAAAACAATGTTACCAGTGAGCGAGCTGCCTGTGACAAGATGGCCGCCAGGTGCTGACGTCGACCTCCATTGGCCAGCAGCGCGGACGAGATATCTAGCCTTTATATAGATATCTATGGTAGCACCCCCACACCTTCACAATGGTAGCAGAGGTGCACAGGAACAATCCTTCATAAAACGCATAAAACTTTAGTTTACAAAGACGTGAAACTCAGGCTGTGGTCTGGGGTGTTCACTGACATGCTCACACAAAAATCGCAGCAAAATATGCTTTCCAACAGGTGTTTTACCATTCGTTGTAAAACTGTTCACCTATTTTTCCGAAAGCCTCACGACCTTCCATTGAGAGATTGAATAATAGACACTCCAGCCCAGTTGGTGGCGATAATGCACCTTTGCCAATTGCAAGCAAACCACTTTTAAAGTGTAGCCTACGATACCGTGACCGCATAAGACTACAAAAAGGATACAAACAACCCCATTTCCGTTTCCGGCGGCGAAGTAATACCGTACATCCCAGAACATCCAATACAAGTCAATGGAGTCGGACAAAAACTACGATAAAACCTGTTGGAAAGCATCTTTTGCAGCGATTTTTGTGTAAGCACATCAGTGAACTCCCCAGACCACTCAGTGAGTTTCACGTCTTTGTAAACAAAAGTTTTATGCGTTTTATAAAGGATTGTTCCTTTGCACCTATGCAATCATTGTAAAGATGTGGGGGTGCAACCACAGAAACTGAAAATTCTCTGGACAGCAGCATCTGTCTAAAAAAAACAATCGTAACCATTCTATTTCATTAGAAACTATCTTAAAACAGGGCTTTAATTGTAAAACATGGAACTTGTCCTTTAAAACCATTTTAAACCGCGACCGGAACATGATACAAATACTAGATAGTTGTTTAAAGTGAGCTTTAAGTCAATGTGTATTAATCTTTTATTGTGTCATGTAGCTTAAAGCTTCTTGTTCTAATCTACCTACTGCAGGAGCTATTCCATAATCTTATTTGTAATATATATATATTTATTATTATTTTATTTTTTTACAAGACTTAAGATAATAGGTCGATCTTGATACTATGTACAAACTAAACCACCTGGATCCTAGAACTGCGGCCCTGAAACCGCATCTGCCGCTATATAATCCAGTTCGGTAGGTGGCACTGTCACAAAAAAACCTGGACCCTGGAACCTGGGTCCTGGAACTGCGGTCCTAGAACTAGGGTCCTGAAACTGCAGTCTGCAATATACTACTGAAAATTATTAAAACCGCTGTAATATTCATGCCAGGCCAGTAGTTGGCCAGTAGTTGACTTTGAAAAGTAACACTATGCACCTAGACCGAACATGTAATATGCTTTTATAAAAATATATTTATATATTTTATGATAAACGTCATAGTTATCACAAATTTGCACTTTTGTAATTTCACAGAGACAATAACAGTCTCATTTTAAAAAAAAAACTTTCACCTGTGTCCTGTTTCGTTTTCAGTCCCTCAAAACACCATTGTCGTGTGAAAGAATGGCTAAAAACGCATAAAATGTTTTCCATTTTTAGTTGAAAACGGTGTCATGTAAACAGCCCCTCAGTTATCACATTTTTCCAATGTACAAAAACAGAAAAGATTGTATACGTCATCACTAACAAAAAACTACAACTAAGACAAAATTATAAACAAAATTAATTTGGACAAACTATCATGATGCCAAAAATGAGCAGTGCTACATTATAAGTCTGAACATGGATGCCATTTCAAGTATGCTGACAGCAAGGTAAATTCCAAAAAGTAATTTTAGAGGTTCAACAAAGTCTTTCTAGTGTAAATACTTGTGTGTTTTAGAGACAAAAAAATGCACAGGTCTGTTTAAAACACACTATGCAAAACATAAAAAAATAGAAATGAAGGCTCACCTTCATTTTCAGACGCTGGACATGCAACCTGAAGTGCCAAATCAAATGTTCTCGCAGGATTCTCGCTGAAAGAGGAAAAACAAGCCCAATTCACTAACTTAACAACTTAACTTAACAACTCTTTGAGACTGTTGAAGGAACAGTTCACTTATAACTAACATTTAGATATTGTTTCTTTCCAATCCAATGTAACGTTCATTCTTCTGTCGATGACAGGAAAATGACAGTTTCAGTCTCAATTCACAATAATTGCATATTTTCCAACATCCAAACATCTGCTTGTGTTGAAAAAGTTATACGATGTAATGTTAAATTTGAGTTAACTGACGTTATCCCTTTAAAAGCTCGACATGTCATTTGAGACAAAAGTATGTAGTCAGTTTTCTCTTCAGAAATCGCAAATATAGTCATGATAATTACAGTTCAATCCATAATGTTAATAGAACGAGATGTTAACGGCGTCTAATTCGAGCTAAATTAATGTGCAGCTGTCAAGTTTAAATGTCTGTAGAGGAATGCGGCTAGGCTAGTTAGCATGTCTGAGGTAAACAGCTAACCGGTCAGCTGGACCTGTCATCTCCTCTCAGTAGCCAAATTAGCTAACTAACGGATTTATAATAAGCGCTATCTTCATTTTGACCGAATGAGAGACTTTTATTTACGGAGACTGATAAAGTGTACCGCGACAAACCAGAGGAATGTGTAAGGTAAATAAATGTGCACTTACTTTATCCTGCTGTCCATGGCTAAAGCATCGCGTCAGCAGCAGCTCGCGCCGACGGCGGGAAAATAAAACACCGAGTTACGCGCGCTGCCTGCGAACCTTCTGGATCCGCGGCTACCTGACTGAGGGTCGCGGAAACTGCTGCATTCCTCTATCTGTCGGCGCGCGTGCTCCCCGCTGACGCTTCCTAGACGCGCTGCTGACCGTTTCGGTTCCCCAGGCTGTGATCCTGCAGTGAAGCACCAGGAAGCACCTGGGTCACGCTTGTATGCGCGCGTGCGCGTATGTGTGGGTATTTCAGTGGGATTTTGATTCCAAGAAATGAACACTTCTTGTTGTTTCCAACCTGTATGAGTTTATTGATGAAGGGAATGGTGACATCATGTCAGTCCTTAAAGAGCCCCTATCATAGCATTTGAAATGTTCCTATTTTTGTTTTAGGAGTTCCCAAAAACAGTTTAACATGCATGCAATAATAAAAAAAAACACTTTATTTGTCTTATAATATGCATTTATTTTTAACTGATTTGCTCACCGACTCCCAAATGATTCGTACAACGATTCATTTTTCCAAACCACTCCTTTGCGTGACGCTAATCGGCGGTGATTGGTCAGATGACAGACAGTTATTGTTTGTTAGCATAACGCATAAACATATTGATAAAGCATTGCAGGAACAAGATGCTCTATTCTTTATGACATCTCCAATAACAGCGACACACATTTCACATATTTAAAAAAAAATTGACATTGGAGACCTATAAGCGGCGCTGAGCGTATAACTTACATACACACACGCGCGCGCACACACATACTTATTGTGCCTTCCCTCCTCGCGCCCCGAAGCTACAAAACCGTTCAAAACCCATAAAAGCAACAATTATTAAAGGGTTAGTTCACCTAAAAATGAAAATTAAGTCATTAATTACTCACCCCCATGCTGTACCAACCCCGTAAGAGGACGTTCTTCTTCACCTACTTCTTGTTACCGGCTGCTCACCACGGAGTATTACCGCCACCTACCGTATAAGATGATGTTCCATAGATAAGGCGCTCCGGATTGTAAGGCGCACAGCACTGTCGTATTTGAGAAGATTAAATGCTTTTAAGTGTGCCTTATAGTGCGGAAAATACATCTTATATCAATACATCTTATACAGTAGGGGGCGGTAATACTAGCGGTGAGCAGCCGGTAACAAGAAGTAGTCGAAGAAGAACGCCCTCAGCTCAATTCTCGCGCATGCGTTCTGGAAATCTCTTCAATTCTCGTCTCAAGGCCCATAAGGAAGTAATGGGATAGTCGAATAAAGTCGTTATTTATGTTTTTTTCGCATAAAAAGTATTCTCGTCGCTTGATAAACGTATAATTGAGCCGCTGTAGGCATATGGAATATTTAAACATTTTCTTTAATGATTTTGTGGGCCGTCAAGTGCTAGTCCCTCATTTGTGTTCCGAAGATAAACGAAGGTCTTACGGGGTACAGCATGGGGGTGAGTAATTAATGACTTAATTTTCATTTTTGGGTGAACTAACCCTTTAATAATACTTACAGGTTGTGATTCATAGGAGGAAGCTGATCCATATACGCTGGGTAAGTAAGTTGAGCCCTCCTTCAGGAACAACCGCTTGCGAATCCACATTTGAATTCATGTATGTTTTTGAACGATTCGTAATTAAAATGATGAGAACACAATCGGGTTATACTGTTGTGGTATCCTATATGAACTCTAACCACCGATTCTTCACATGCTCGTCCCTGGTAAATGAAAACAAAGGGGCTGAACTATCTTTGCATTGTAGAACACAGCGTCTTCTCAACATGATGCTATGATGAAGTATTTGAATGTGTAGGCTTCAAGTTTACACTTCCATCTGTGCGCACAACTGGGCGCGGCCAATGACCTCTCGTCACGTAACAGCTAATGACTTGTTTCAAAAACAATTCATTTCATAGACTCAGAGTCGACTCTCACTTTTGAAAGACAATAACTTTATATACGGTGCACTTTCAGATATAAATCTTTGCAGGATGTTTTCATTCCCTTAGAGCTATATTCCACACCATATGAACAGTCATTTTCAAAAATACATGATAGGGGCTCTTTAATACTTTAGTTAGCCTACCTTACTTAATATACCTGATCTACAGAAGAAAGAAAGTCATTAGGGTTTGGAACAACATGAGGAAGAGCAAATTATGTCCTTTTGTTGTTGTTGTTGTTGTGAACTGTCCCTTTAATTGCATTCTTCAGCACATTATTTTTCTTTTGCATGTCTGCTCTACTGATGCTAGCTTGTGTATGTATGGTTTGGAAATACCTTCTTTTTATTATTACAAACTTAAATGTTTCTGAAGAGGAATGTGAACATCTATACGGTTTAAAAATAGGCCTACAGGACCTCTTTATTAGTAAAACACTCAAATTAGTGGTTGGCTAAAGCAAAGGAAGTATAAATTCACACCACCCACTTGTTTAAAAAAATAGCTTGTGTTTCTTATGGGTCAAAGCCTAGTCATTTAAACCTGTTGCAATTCTATTTCCTGCTGGGGAAATTGTGGTGGTTAATGAAGGGGGCTCTGCTACTATACATGTCACTGGCTTGCCATTTCAAATGGAACTGCTGTTATCTCTGCTGATCTGTTTGTGACACATTTTTTTTACTCTTTTCCATTGTTCATTCTTAAGCACACTTTACTATATTCTATTTTAAGGACTTGAATGTGCAAGCCTGTAATAGTGGGTTAAATACGTAGCATGCAGTTAAACAGGCAAAAGTCAACTAGTTAATGCTGGCTGATGAACTATATGAACTGTTCTTAGAACAAGGAAGTTCTTCATAAATGTCAAGTCAGTGAAACATATCAGATTTTTATTGGGGCAAGCTATCATGTGTTTTAAATGTCACAAATATATAATTCATATATAATGTAATGAACTTGATTGTAATATTTATAATTAATGTATATAATAATATTATGTTAAAATGTACATAATCAATTTTATTTATAAAATTGCTAATTACAAAATGTGTTGGCAAAAACAAGTTTTTGAACCAGATTTTGTAGGCTGTTACCTTTTACGTTTACTTTTTAAAGAATTGTTTTTTGATTGCATGGTTGTTTAAACCAATCAGCATTAAATTTATATGAAAGAAACTATAATATGCATTCATTGAGAACACTTATAAAGGGGCATGTTGTGTCGTGAACTGTATTTTTTTTTTCACCTCGATGAGCGCGGAAATTTCCGAGTCTTTAATGTAGCTCAGCTGCCTTCACACAAATGCTACTTCATAATAAAAAAGTTTTTTTTTTTCAATACACATTTTCCCCTGCTGTAGTTCTACTGTCCAACAGAGGGGGCGCTTAAATGCATCTAGTGAACGCCACTGTTTCAGAACATGAAAAGCACAATGAGGAAGCACACAGCGTTTTGTTTGGTGGTTTTTAACATATATTGACAGCATAGCAGAGTGTAGTTCTTTGAACAACAAAACCATTTTGTTCAGTAGGGGGTTGTTTAGAAGTTTGCATTTGTCTGCAAGCAACGTGATAACAGGACATTTTAGGAGACATTTTGAGTAATGCGGCTTCTCGGTTCATGTATACTTTTAAGATTAACAAGTTTTAAACGCAGTCGAACGAATATAATAATATTAAATGAGGTGTACAATAAGATATCGCCGCGTTCATATTGTAATGAACACGAGAGCGAATCAAATTCGAATTTTCACGATGAAAATACAACCGCGTCACATGAAACAATAACGCTTTCAGATGACGACAGGTTAATTTATGAGCTTCATCTGGACGCATGCAAGGTAAGAGCAAAATCAAACGCTTATAAAACTGCACTTCCAGCAGCTGGTGTCACATTTAAAGAAACTCGTGTAGAGACACAAACCTGAGCCAGTGACCTATGTGAGGGAACCTAACCAACACAGGCATTCCTGCCATTGAAGATCCTACATTTTGCACTTCTAAAGATATTTTTACATTCTTAGTTAACTTAAAAGAATACACTATATCTCTAACTTACAGACTAGTAAGGCTACTTCACTAAGTGTGTGGAAGACTGGGTCATTTTTGAATGTTCCTTTTGGCTGTCAGGAACTATGTAGTTTGATGGCCGAGAGAAAGTTATTGAAGACCCGTAGAGTTGGAGGATGCACAGACAGTGTCAGCTTCACTATGGAGCCAAAGGATGGCATCTGAAATGGCATGCCACAAAAAGCGCCTAGGGCCCTTTTGGCGTCGAAGGCTGTCATAGATGAAGCCAAAGCTCTCTGAGGAAGAGTCAGAAATGATGCTTAAGAAACACATTTGTATTGTGTTTATGGTGTATTTTCATGAATGAATTGTTACATTTCTAGGGAGTAAAGTGGATGAAAAATGTATTACAATATAGTTTTTTTTATAATCATTTAGCAGCTTAATATTTTACCCTGAAATATGTTATCTATGGAACACTGATCCTTATAAAAAAAATTATTAAATGTGGGCATTTAAATACATTTGATCATCTGCAAATTGCATCTGTTCACAGGATCAGAAAAGAACATACATTGACCCTATAACCGGCTACAGTGTGTTCACTGAGTTTGCCCATAGGAAAAGAGGAAGATGCTGTGGGACTGCCTGTAGACATGTAAGCTTCATATTTTACTTGTATATCTTTACAAGAGGACTGAAAGAAAATGTCAGTCAGTATTGTATTAATTTTATAGTAAGTATTTTTTATTTAGAGTGAAATTTAGTTGATTTTTTATGGATTACATGTTACATGAGACAGGAGAAATCCATTCTGTCAGTAACTCACAATACATAATAAAAAGCAAACTGTCCACATTATATTAATTATTTTATTTAACTTTTCAGTACCATTTGTTAACTCTAAACTTCTTGTTTTTTCTGACAGTGTCCATATGGGCAAATTAATGTGGAGGATCCTGCAAAGAAGAAAACCTTCAACTCTTTGTTTTATGTATAGCAGTAAATGTTAAGATTGGCTGAAGAGCTCATTTGGTGTGCTCCTGTATTGAATTTGGACTTCTTTTAATGCACATTCGTCTTACACTGTTTAAAATGATGAAATACGCTACACCAGATGTGCAACCCACACTGCAGGAAATGGTTTTAATCACATCTATCCACTGTGATTTTACTTACAGGAGTTGGTGTGCTCCTCTATCAGATGAATTTCACAAGCGGGAATTTTTTTGCGGTCATGAATATTCATATGGTTCCAGGCGATCATAATTTTGAC